GTCCCCCTGAGAATTCATTAGGACTAGATAGCGATTTTACATGAAGGTTATAGTGAGATCTCATGAGAATTCATGCGGCTAAGCTATTCAGATTACACGAATATTAGTGAGACCTTATCAACACCATTTCAGGACCATCCATGTTACCTCATTGATGGTCAGTAAGAGTCAGTGTGCTTGGCGGTTGTAGACCAATAATCATTCGTGATCGTCAAATTATCTATGGACAAAATAGGAGGACTTCATGGGCTTTAGGGGTGAAATCCATATCCATTATCTATGTAAACATGCGAACATGAAACTCATGCTTCCGATTAATCAAAACGCAAACAGAAATATCCGACCATGTCCCCTTTACTCGAGTATCGCCCATGCATCATCGTCATCGCTGGCATCCTGTTCAGCACCCTCACCCGCCGCAACACAATCCAACCCTGCCATTGGCTCCGGAACCTCAGCTGCGACCTGCTCTCTGTAGGAACCTGCCACTACTCTCGGTTCCAAGACCCCTGCTACTCCCGGGCCCGAGTCAGCATGCTCTCCAGCATGCAGGCCGGTTTGGGGATGCGACCGACGCTCATAACTCCCTGCCAACACCTCAGAGGGATACAACTCACTGCGCCAGGTGCGCCACTTGTGCCAAGCTCTGGCCTTAAGAAGGGTCTTACCTTCTTCCTCTTGCATGGGTTCAATTATGGCACGATCTTCACTCCTGAGGTCGATAATCCGACCATGTGGACGAGAGTTTCGACGAAACACCACCGCTGCGGCCGCATACCCCTCTGCTGCCGCAATCTTGGAGTCCCAGTTGCCCAGCAAAGTGGTTTTAGTCTTCTCATCTTCCAGACCGATGCCGGCCTGCCACTTACCAGTTCGTCGGTGAAATCGTACGCCTGTGTACCTGGGTACAGCCCGCCGATCGCTTTTGCCACTGGTATGCTTCGACGCAGCCTCTGCGTTGTCAGCAGAGCACCCAGCCGGAGCTGCATCAAAAGTGTCCTTGTTTCTCGAAGCCCATGCAACAGCAGCTCCTATGACGAGATCAGCGGGCAGGCATGAACAAACCTCGCGTTCTGGAACAGTCGCCACAGGGGGGATGATCGAAGCTACCGGAAATAGACCTGCTGGAGAAGATAGGGTGCCTCCATTTTTCTCCGGACTTGCGTGAGTATTGGCACGACCACGCTGCACCTCTTCCTTCAGGGCGGCAATCTCCTGCTGCAAATTTTGGATGATCGCATTCTTCGACGCCAAGTCCGATACCATCCGATGAACCTGCGCTTCAAGGGTGCCTACAGCAATGCCGTACTCACGAACCTGGCTGGTTAGAACGCTGATAGCTGCGTCCAAATCCTTAAGGCGCTTCTCGACAGCATACGGGACCCCTCCTTCATCATCTCCGACGACTGGCTGGACGGCATTTTGCTGTGGTACTGACATACCCGCGTCGACCATCGACCTAATCAACCTTCCCGTTTAGTGCCTCAGCATATCTTCTCGGACCCCGCGCCTGTAAACAAGTGGTGACTGCCCGAAGCTGAAACTCTTGTGAATTGCGGCAAAAGATGTAATCACCAGCGTGTGTAGATACATGCATACGTAGATCCCGCAGTCATACCCATCAGACTGTTTCGGTTTCCTGTAACTCTGCATAACAGAAACCAAATGCGCCATTAACTTGCTGGAAGGCATTGAGAGCAAGCATGAATCACCGTATCGACTACTTGCTTAAATCACCGCAGCCGTCACGTGCACTCACCGGTGCTTCAAAACATGCCAGCCGTGCTGTCATGGCTGCTAACATGTCGGGAGTGAGGTCTTTGTGTCGGTGCATCATTGCGAGTCCCAATATTCTGGAAAGGGGACACGTGGTGCCCATGTCCGGTCAGTTCATGAAAAAACCAAAGATACGTCAAGGGATTTACAAGCCAATGGCGATGGTAATGTATTGAGGAAGCCACCTACACTTTGACGTTGTTGAACACGTGCCCAGATATCGCACAGTGAATGCTTGTTGAGTCCATAAGTACAGCAACAGGTGGTGTTTCTGAGGCGTAATCGGCTTCGGACAGGAGAATACGGCCCGGATCTTTCACAACAACGATGCTCCATTGACCATAGTCGGCCTCCCTACATGAGCAAATCTCATGTAAAAGTTAGGGTTGTTAGTGAGGCATGTCAATCCCTAGAAGACTTAAGGAGTGAAGTGCAGCACGATCGAAGTATTATGTCCACTTACTCGGTGTGGATGATGACGCAGAGGAAGTCCACGTCTAGTATAGACGAGGCCGACTCGCCCCCGTAGAGTCCGCCATGTGCGAGGACGTACGTGTATGCAGTAGAACCCATCACCCGCCAGGTACGCCCGTCGGGAAGACGGGGCTGGCGCAGATTTAGCAAGCTGCCAGATAGGAAACAATGTACTAGTGACAATTTAGTCATCAGTTATCGCGGTATGGAACAAACGCGAGACATCGATTGTGACCATCACAAAAAACCCTTACATATTATGAAAGCCGATGATGTTTGATGTGAGTTCCTCACCATCCTGAATGGAGAGCACATCGAATGCGTCTAGTGTTGTCCAATTTCCATAATGGTCGTAGATGTTTGCCGTTGGAAATCCCTTTACAACCGGTTGGTTACTATCTGAATCTGGGTCAAGGAGCTTGATATTCACGCCGTTAGGCGATATAACATCGCGAGGTATTTCTGGACGATGCGGTGGCTCGACATTTGTAGACACCTTGAACGGGGCTGGCGCATCCAAAACGGGTACTCGGTTGTAGCCCCCCCTCTGTTTTTTAACCCTTGGACTTGCGACCTGCTCTACAACGTCACCGTCACCCGTGTCGCTTACATCGATAGCATATTCACGGTTTGTACGAGGCGCTACATCTCCTTTGCACTGTCCTGGCTTTCGTCCGGGTGCTGTGTTAGCCATCGTTACGGTGCTGCCTTCTCGTGCGTGTCGAGGACTAACGATCTTAGACCAGGTTCCCTTAGCACGCGTTAAGGGTATGGCACGGTGTGACTTCGTATGCGGTGATCTACAGTGACTCTTGTGCATAGCACATCGTGGGCCTATACTAACAGTGTCTCGTTCATCTGAAAAGTCTCTGGCCGTACTCTGTTATGACTCGATGTGGCAATGCCATCGGTCATACTCGCCATTGAATTATGCTCACGTTATGTTGATATGTGCGAATATTATATCCTCGAGCACACATCACGTTATCTTCATAACGGCCAACTTCAATTCATTAAAACTTGCACTATATGATTCCCCAAAGTCCCAAAATACTTAGACGTCAAATACTCTGTCGGTGCAGGAGTCATCTCATCATCTACGTTTGAGAGGAGAACATTGTGCATAGTGAATGTAGATGACAACATTCATTAAAAGCATAGAGTACAAGCAAGCGAGTACATTCCCTTATTATAACTGTTTTACAATCGCGACAGTTGACTCTTGCGACTGTTGACCTTTCTGACCTTGATACGGGCTGATCCGATACTACTAGCACTGCTTCGATAGTGACGGGTGCGATACTGCTTCGCCTACCGAAATGCTAAACTCAATTCCTTTCAACCTCCAACACAGACTGTGTAGGGTCTTCAGATGTTGATCGCGTGTAGTGTCGCAACTGAAGTGTTGCTAGTGTTTGTTGGGTACAGACCCTGTTTGGGGAAGGAGACCAGAATCTCGACAGAAGTGACCAATACGTTTATGTTGCTCGGTGTAATCCGCACTGCATTTGTCTTTGCGTAAATGGTTCCGTTCTAAATGAATGTCTTCCAACAAAAAGCTATCGTAAAAGATTCCACGAGGGCTCTCTGTAGATAGGATGAGGCTGTTGGAATAACCGAAAGGTTATTATGACTTTCTCGAAGGCTCTATCCTAGCGCGCCACTTCATAACAAAGCAGCGCCACGGTACCAGTATCGCGGTATGGTCATATAGAGAACGCGGCAGCAACGAGACTCACCCGAGGGTAAACAGTCGCAGGAAGTCAACGGTCGCGACTGCTGACCGACTGGTATCTGCTGTAAAGCTTACGCGATGCAACGTTATAACTGTTGAGAATGGATGCACAGTGTTTGTAGCTAAGCAATACAGTTAAACAAAAAGATTGTACCTTTCAGAATACATGGCTAGCTAGAATTCTGTTTAAACTCATTGTAATTCTATCTTTATCATCTTGTTCTGTTTGATAAGTTCTTAACAACACCATTTTTTTTACTTCATTGTCTTTTTATAACTTATCAGCCCTATCCTGTCCAGTCCTAACTATTGCACATTGTTCAAATTGTATACGCTTATGTTTCATAACGCATTACCGTGCACAACACGTAGAAACACTGTACCCTTCAAACGCGCGCAGAGTTTATCGGCGAACATCTTCGACCATTCCGGCCTAGGGTCGACCGAAGCTGCCCGATGGTCACACATGGGAAATAACACTGTCAGTGGACATGAGTGATAGCATTTCATGAACAATGATGAAATCTCATGACTATGGGCGAGTCTTCGCCAGGGATTGCTTCGGGGCCCTACGATGAGTGGTGAGGAAACGAGCGAAAGTCGTGTCAGGTAACAAGATCTCACTATGGAAAGTCATGAACACGAGTAAGGAACACAAACATATAGTTTCATGGACATCAATGAGCCGTAATGGAAACTCATGAGTATTAGCTGATATTCGCATGCCTAGGCAGGGCTCAAATAGTGTTGACGTTTAACAAGTATCCGTCGATAATCATGGCTGTTACCCTAAACCGCGGTAATGAGTTCTCATGAACACGTGTGGCGTTTGTACTAGTATTTTCATGCTCTGTAACGGATGGGGAGTTGAAAGGCAGATTTTAGGGATTGGTCGATGCGATTTCTGAGGGGTCTTATGTAACCCTATACGTGTTATTGTAGGGCAGTTGTCCTTAAACTCAACAAGAAGACGAGTGTCGACACAGTACGGAAATCAACTACTTATTGTCAAGAGCTAACTCAACCCAAACATTGGCCCACGACAAAAACAAAGAACCTGGTTGTAGTTTGCGAGGTGCACATTCAGCAGCAGGGGAAGAAACTGCAGCTGCAACCGCTAGACGAGACACTTAAGCAGCCACAATCCGCCTGGCCCGTACTATTTTAAAACTGGCCCAGTCATCGAGGCTATCACTGCCTCGGCAGCTACAACATCATCCCGTGGCATATCGTCCGCCACATCTACACCTCTCACATCCGCCGCTGCTGCAACTCCATCCGCAGCAGCATGCTCTGCAGACGAAGGCAAGGGGAGTCCCACTGTGGTCTCTGCAAGGACTGCTGAAGGATACAGCTCACGGTGCCATGAGCACCAATTGTGCCACGCTCTGGCCTTCAATAGCGCAGTCCCATCAGCATGTGTCATGTGCTCAATAATGGCCCGGTCCTCAAGCTTAAGCTTGATCATATGCCCGCGGGGGGGACCCCAGTCCTTCCGTAACACCGCGGCAGCAGCAGCATATGCATCTGCGGCGTCAATCTCGGTGTCCCATGATCCCAACGGAGTGGAGTATGACCTACCCTTCTCTAGTCCAATGGCAGCCTGCCACTTACCGCTGGCCGGTTCCAACCGTACTCCAGTCCACTTGGACGTCCGCGCACGGCCACCAGTGGCTGCTGTACGCTCCGATTCCCCTTCCCCAAAATCAGCAGCACGCACCATGGGCTCAGGCCCCGCCGTCGATATGCCTAGCTGGTGCATTCTCGGCTCAGGTCTCTGGCCACCAGTCGCCACAGCACCTTGGACGACACAGTGTTTCTCGCTGGCAGGTGCAGTAACCAGCTCGAACCCAGCCGCAACGCCCAGAGTGTTCCCCCCGACAGTGCGCGATGGAGGCCCCAAAATGACCGGAACTCTTTTATGGCCCGCCGCTGGAGGGGCAGGGCTGCTGGCAGCTTTCTCGGGACTACCACAAGCGAACCCTGCAAGCGGCTGAGACATTTTCTTAAGGGCGGCCCCGTCGTTCTGCAACTGGGAGATAATAGCATCCCTATCTGCGAGTTCCCGTGTGAGTTTTCCGACTGTGTTCTCGAGACTGTCAACACTGACAGAGTGCATATTCACCTCGCTGGTAAGCTTGGCAATTAACCCGACCATTTCCTTGAGGCACACCTCAACAACGTATTGCTAGGCCCTAGTAGTGGGTGTAACGTATTGTCGGTAGCGAAATACTAAAAACCGGAGCACTATAAAAGAGGCACATAGAGCACTGGAGGGTGTCTAGATCTTCAGGAGACAGCGTTGCGAGGACCGAGGAGTGTGACTTGGACGGAAGATATAGGTTAACTGCCGAGTACGTGGGAGGCAGAGCATTTGTACGGCGGGGTGGGCGTTGGGTGGATGTGGGGGGGAGGATGAGGGGTCGAGAGTGGTGTGAGGTTCGGTATGCTGATGTGTGGGTGAGGGAGGGTGTGAATGTTGATTCTGGGTAAGTGGACTACAATGATTGGTTGGACAGATTCGTAAGGCTCGGTCAATTAGGTTCGGAGAGGTGGAAAATATTGGTGGTTACCAATGGTCTGATGTGGCACGGTACGTAAAATTGGTTGGGGTAATGTACTTGGCTAGGAGTGGACTTGCTTGGTGTGCCTTTGTCACCTCCCTTGCTTACGTGTACATCTCCTGCTCGACTTGGTGAGATTGTGTGTTGTTTCTGTGCTTACGAAATTAACGAGCGTTGTTTCATCGTTTTGTTTTTTTCCGCTGAGGGTCTTATATTTTCGTCTGTTTCGTGATCCCCGTTCACCAAGCTGTGTTGATACTTGGTTCACAACACAATGATGAATCGCATTCAAACGCTCTCAACCACGGATCCAACCGGGCCACCCGAACGTTTTTGCGGCTAACAGCTTCGCGTCACTGGGATGTTGCTGAAGCGTGACTTTTTTGGCACAGATCTCTCCTACGTAACTGTGACATCCCCATCACCTTTTCTCTGGGATATTTTGTGTGCTTTCGGGGACTTTCTGTGCGCTTTTTTCGTAGAAAAACCTACGGGGGCCAAATTTTTGCGTTTGAACTTTCCGCGATGGACGTAGAAGAAGCCAGATTCGTCGCCATCGCGCCGTTGATCTCCAATCCCCATCTTTCCATTTCCCACTGCGCCGTGATCGCATAGCCGTCGCCTGTCGCCATGAAGCCCTGCGCGCGCCTGTCCGGCCTATGTGGCCTCGCCGCACTCGTCGCGGGTCTCGTTGCCATCAACTTCCTCGCGACCCACGCCAGCGCTTTTGTTGGTAGTGAGTATCGGTTCTGAGCGCTATTTATCGATTTCCCTCTCTCCTCTTGATTCTCACGCTCGATCATCGGTCTAACTGTGTGCTTGCCCTGCTGCATGTCGTGCGGAACGCCCATGGATTCGCGCTGCAGACCCGTGCGCCGGCATCGATTGCGGGCCAAGTGCGTCCTGCATGGTGCAAGATGATGGCACCGCTGACTGCTGGTGCGGCGATGGCACTGCTTTCAATCCCTTTGCCCTGCTGCCCTGCCGCCGTTTGTTTTGTCCATGAATTTTCTCTGCAGACCCGTGCGCGGGCATCGAGTGCGGGCCAAGTGCGTCCTGCATGGTGCAAGATGATGGCACCGCTGACTGCTGGTGCGAGGATGGTTCTGCCTTCAACAAAACGGACAAGACGTGCTACGGTGAGTGGTGGAGACGAGAGCGAGTGAGTGCACCCTTCTTTTCTATTGTTCATGCTTCTTTTCACCCTTTTTTCCCAATGCTCTTGCTTCCCGCCTTCTCCGTTCCCACCTCTTGTTCTCTTGCTCAGTGCGCGGGTGTGGTTGGGTGCGTGGGTGTGGTTGGTTGGGTGCGTCAGTGTGCGGTCGTAAGAAATTACCTCCTTCCCCTCCTGCACTTGGGAACCTCCATGAACCCCCCTCCCTCCCCCGTGGAGACGCGTGTAGCAAAGTGGATTGCGGGCCGAGTGCTTCTTGCGTGCAAGAGTCTCCTGATCCCAACAGCCCTCCTGAATGCGTGTGCAACGATAACAAGGCATTCAACAAAGCGGACAAGACATGCTACGGTGAGTAGTGGAGAGCGAGTGAGTGCATGCATGGCATGGAGGTGAGAAGAGTGTGGTATGGGCTGACTGGTTGAATCTGACTCGTATCGTGAGTTACGATCTTGTGGAGTCACAAGGAAAAGCCCCTAAGTTAGAATCAGCTAGTGTGGGTGAGTGTGCGAGTGTGGGTGAGTATGCGAGTGTGGGTGAGTGTGCGAGTGTGGGTGAGTGTGTGAGTGTTGGTGAGTATGCGAGTGTGGGTGAGTGTGCGAGTGTGGGTGATTGTGCGAGCGTGGGTGAGTGTGCGATTGTGGGTGAGTATGCGAGTGTGGGTGAGTATGCAAGTGTGGGTGAGTGTGCAAGTGGCGGTGAGTGTGCGAGTGGCGGTGAGTGTGCAAGTGGGGATGATCATGCGAGTGGGGGTGAGTTCACAATCATCGAAAAGAATCTCGTTCATCTAAGCCCATTTCTCTACTCACCTCACCTCGGAACCACCCATGACATCCTTTGCAGACGGTTGTGTTGTCTCTTACAAGGAGTGTGGCTCCGATGCTTCCTGTGTTGCGTATCGCAATTACGATCCCGAGTGCTAGTGCAACAAGGCTGGTATGATCTTTAACGAGCCTGCCAAGGCATGCTTTGGTGAGTGCCGCACTAGTGATCCGTAGACACTTCGAATTTTTACACAAACACATTTCTGCAGACATCGCTGAGCTGTTTTCGTCTCGTCACTCTTCCCGCACCCTCCCTCCTCCCTTTCTGTCTGCCCTCTTCCTCTCCTTTACCATGTCCCACATAAACCCAATGTTTTTAAACCCCCATCATCGTCACCTTTGCCCTCCCTTCGTGGCAACTGGTGCCAACAATCAATCATGGCCCCAACTGTCTCAACGGCCACCCAGGCCCGTTGGTGCGCACAGCAGTGCAGCTTAGTGAGCGCAGCATCAAGGATCAGCTCACCTTCGCCCCATCTGCCCTCTTCCTCTCCTTGACCCTAACGGCCGCCCAGGCCCGTTGGTGCGGACAACAGTGCAGCTGAGTGGGCGCAGCATCAAGGATCAGCTCACCTTTGCCACCTCGGTGCCGGCAGAGCAGGCCAGCGGCACCACTGTGTGCGCCAGCAGCGACCTCAGCTACAGCATTGGCGGCGCTCAGATCTCCGTTGTGTGGGACGCCCCGAAGCTCTTGAGGCCCGAAGCGGTTGGCAACGGCATGTGCAAGAGCGTGACGTTCTACTCTGGTCGCGGCTGCACGGGCCAGCCGGGGCTGACGATTGCACGCCCTGCGAAGAAGGGTCGTTCCTACCTCGCCACGAAAAGGTGTGTGAGTTTGTGTGGGTATGATGCACACCACATATTGTGTGAGCGTGATGCACACCACATATTGTGTGAGCGTGATGCACACCACATGCACACCACATATTGTGTGAGCGTGATGCACACCACATGCATACCACATATTGTGTGAGCGTGATGCATACCACATTGTGTGTCCACATGATGCATGCCATGCAAAGTGTGAATAGAGCGACTGTCATGATTCGTTCTCATTCCTTATTTTTCGCAACCTTTCCTCTCCCTCTCTCAGGCCTGTCAAAGCGACGTATTCACCGCAATCTGTCGGCTGCAATCTAAGTAAGTGCGAGTACATCCACATACTACAGAAGGACTCCATACACTGTATCATGTCTTCTACTCATCGTGACAAAATCAATAACATGAGAGAGATGTGGTAAGAGAGAGCATGGCACATGCCACCCAATTCTCCTTTTCGCCTCCCCATGCCACTCTTTGCTTCTGACCCCTTGTTTGTTTGTCTACGTGCCTTGTTTGTTTATCCCCCTGTGGTGCTCACAACAGCCACGTGTCACAAGGATTGTGGAGCTGCTGAGTGCGTTGTGAAGGACGGCCAGCAGCAGTGCCAGTGCCCCGAGGGCCTCGTGTTTAACGCAGCCAAGAAGCTCTGCCGCGACCCATTCCCTGCTCGTAAGTGCCTTGTCGTTTGCTGCGGCATGTTTTCCAACAGGAAAGAGAACCAGCCGGGAAGCTTCTCTTGTGAAAAGCGAGTTGTCAGTGTCATGCCGGCCACACCAAGAGGAGCGGGCTGTGAGTGTCATGCACTGGTGGGCTGTGCACTGGTGGGCTGTACACTGGTGGGCTGTGCACTGGTGGGCTGTGCACTGGTGGGCTGTGCACTGGTGGGCTGTGCACTGGTGAGCTGACTGTGGCTTTGCTTCAGTAGCTAGTGAACAAGATGGCAAGACGGCAAGAGGGTAAGAGGGTGAGAGGGGGAGAGACACAGTTTCATGTGAGTCAAGTTGGAGTGTTTTTTGGTGCTGTTGTGTCATTACCACTTCCCCCTTCCTTCCATGCCACTCGCTCTCATTTTACCCACCTGCTGCCCCACCCAGTCTCATGCTCTTTCCCCTCTCTCCCACCCCCCAAACCCCACCTCCCAACGACGCCAGCCAAGTGCAAGCCTGCGTGCACTGCTGGTGCTCAGTGCATGTTCGTGGCAGGAAAGTCAGTGTGCGAGTTCCCAGGCTGAGGAAGAGCAAGCGCACAGGTAAGGAGGAGAGGGAAATGCATGCTCTGCTTTGTGGGGGAGGGCAAGCCGCAGTGCCAGTGCCCTTGGGGAGCCTCGTGTTGAGCAAGGCCAAGAAGCTCTGTCGTGAGGATAGATGTCTTAGCTGTTTGTTGTATGTTTGCCAAGAACTTCTCGTGTATTTGCCAGCAGTGTGAGCTCTGCACTGGTTGGCGCTACCATATTTCTGCCCCGTGATACTTCTTATGCTGTGGCCCCCTTTTCTTCCTTTTTTTGCAACTATGAATTGATCATATGCACTGTGCAGGAGCTGGTGGGGAAGTGAAGAATGGGCGACCCTAGTTAGATGGGCAGGGGCAATGAGGTGCAAGCTGGCAGCGCAAGAGGGATACCTTATGAGATGGATAGGGGTTGATGGAGCAGAGGTGTGAGCAATTGCATGTGGTTGCTTGGAGGCTAGGAACCAACTTTGTTGGTTGGTTGTCATTGATCTGGGGGTACTAGCAATTGCCTTATATTCTTGCTGGTGTGTTGTATCATTACTGTACGTTTGGTTTTTGTTTCTTCAGGGGAAGCCCCCACGTACAGGGTTGACGCTATAAAAAAACTCTTTAAGATTGAGGCACGTTTTCCAATATCTGCCTACTCTGATTATCCAGGATTCTTAGAACATGGACACAGATGAAGTCAAGAGTCCACAACACAAGATCAGACCAAAAAGAGACTAAGGAATGTCCATTTGTAGTTTAGTCAGGTGCAAGATGTTGGCCTTGTTCGGTAGGCTGCCTAGTCAGACTGCGGATGGGTCAGGGCAAGTTCCCCAATTCGTATGTGGACATGCTTAAAGCCCATAAACTCGTTAGTAGAACACCGAACCTGGCCAGTTAGAGTTTGGTACCGAACGCCTCTATTTGCTAGTCTGACTGTGATAAGACTGGCCGCGACAAAGCTGAGGGAGAAATTTCTTCCCCTGGCAAAAACCAGTTGGAGTAGAGCTGCGGCCCACTACAAGGGGCTCCCCCTGTAATACAGTACGAGTGACGGGGAAAATACCCAAGGATGAAGCTACTTCGTTGTTGTCGCGCAAGCTCCCGAAATCAAATGCGAATGTGCCTCCAGTGCGAGTTGAGGCCCGAGGCTAGGAAGCCCCACGAAGGGTTCGCCAGTGCGGGTGGGCCCACTCTCAACCGAACAAGGCCGTTACTTAGCTACCTACTCCTACTATTAAAGGAAGTTACAATGAACCTACAACTACACCAATATTCAGGCTGATCCATGTGTATCTCGTCATCATCATCTCCCTCATCTCTGAGCGAAAAGGCTGTCCGTGACCACATCAGTGGTGGGTTCCACCTCGTCTGCATCGGCCGCCTCATTGTCTCCGTCTCACTCCTCCCGATCCCAATCAAAGCCAGTCAAAGCCGCACACTACCTTCTCCTATTCCTCGTCTATCGGAGCCTTCCCTATACGCTTCCTTACTGCTGCGGCGCCCCGAATTTCTCTCGCTAGTTGGCGAGGACCCTTTGTCCAGTCGATATCGTAGTGAAGCAGAGAGATTGCCATCACCAACATCCTCACCATCACCAACATCCTCACCATCACCAACATCCTCACCATCACCAACATCCTCACCATCAAACACTACTGCACGTCTCATCCTTCCCTTCGCATCCCTCCTCCTCTCCTCTTTCAATCCAGCTACCTCCTCCCCCTCCCCCTCCCCATCCTCCTCCTCTCCCTCACTCTCATCCTCTTTGCTGATATACCAAGGAATCGAAGTGAATAGGATAAGTCTACCAAATCTAGGAAAGACAATGAAGTCTTTGTAGTGACCTTGTTTGAATAATGGTTGAAAGAGAACAGGATGGATAAAAGATAAGAGTACAAGAGATTAAATAGCAAACTAGCTAGCCATGTACTCTGAGGGGTACATTCTCTTATTAACTATATTGCATAACTACAGTAACCACGACTATTGCTATTTAATCACTGTTGACCTTGGTCGGTCAAGAGTCACAACCGTTGACTGACTTCGACTGTTGACCTTCGGGTGACTCTTGACCTTCCGCATGCTCTATATGAGCTATTGCGGTACTGGTACAGTGCGTTCTTCCGTTAAGGAATGACGCGTTACTGGGTAGCCTTCGGGAATGCTTTATAATAACCTTTCGGTTATTCCAACACTCTTCACTCCCCTCTTCATCCTCCTCCTCCCCGCCCGTCTCCTCCTCCCTCCCTCCCTCCCTCCACGTTGCTCACATCTCGAACGTCCATTTGAAGAGCGAGATCACGCTCGATTTCAGCTTATCATCAACCGCCACATCTGCAGCCTGCAGGGGGTTTCACCATCTCCTCTCCCTCGTCCTTCTGCTTTTCACCCCCCACCTTCTCTTTCGCTCCCTTCCCTTTCCCCTCCCCCTCCTCCTCATCCTCTTCCTCTCCCTCCCCATCATCCTCCTCCCTCTTCCCCCCCTCTCCATCATCTGACCACTCCTCATCCTCCTCTTTTCCTCGTCTTCTTTCCTTCTCCTTAACCTTAGAATACTGCACATGGTGATCCAGAATATCAATATCAACCGCATCTTCTTAGCGGAAGCTTCTCCCGCTCGTTCACCAGCTTTCCGTCTCATCTCACGTCTTACCCTGTGGCCTGCCCTCCATTTGCACGCTCCTGTTGCAATCATAAACTGATCATGTTTATTATGCAGGGGCTGGTGGGCAAGGGAAGAAAGGGTGACACTAGCTGGATGGGCAGGGGGCATGGAGGCGCAAGCTGGCAGCGCCAGAGGGTCGAATCGGCGGGGGCAACTGCATGTGGTTGCTCGGAGGAGACCAACCAATTTGGCTGTCATGTAGTGTGGTACTACGGTAAAATTAGGAATGGGTGTGTGCTTCCTTGCTTCATGGTACTGTATGTTATGTTGTACCATAGTGTCTACTTCCAGTTTCAGAGAGCAACGTAACGCGCCTTGAAGACAGGCGGAGAGCCCGGCGGCCGCTTCACCCTGAAAATCCACATGCCACTGACGATACAGGCAAGACAGCGGAGATGGCGTGCAGGGCAAGCAAACGCGCGCAGTAGGGAGGCACGCGCGGCAGGAAAGGCGCTCAAGGCAAGCAGGCGCACTTGGCAGGCATGCGCTCAAGGCAGGCAGACGCTCTTGGCAGGCAGGCGCTCAAAGCAGGCAGGCACTCAAGGCAGGCAGGCGCTCTTGGCAGGCAGGCGCTCAAAGCAGGCGCTCCAGGCAGGCTAAGACAGGCAGGCGCGCGGCTCACGGGCGGCACACGGGCAGGGCACGCGCGGCTGCGGGCTGCGCGCGGCTGCGGGCTGCGCGTGGCTGCTGGCTGCGCGTGGCGACGGGCTGCGCGCGGCTGTGGGCTGCGCGCGGCTGCTGGCTGCGCGTGGCGACGGGCTGCGCGCGGCTGCGGGCTGCGTGCGGCGGCGGGCTGCGCGGGCGGGGCCTAAGCGGGCTGCGCGCGGGCGGCTTAAGCGGCGCGCGGGCCGGCAGCAGGCTGCGCGGGCGGCTAACGCGGCGCGCGGGGCCGAAAACGGGCTGCGCGGGCTGCTTAAGCGGCGCGCGCGGGAAAAAAAGGGCCGCGCGCGGGCAGCAGGCAAGGCAGGCAGGCAGGCAAGGCGGTAGGTGAGGTAACGCGATAACCGGTGGGCCCTAATCTTAGGTCCTAAAGACCTACTGCTCTAGATACCATGTTAGAATCTTAGGCATGAATGAGTTGCACTATCGAGAGATTTTGGTACAAGGAAGAAACCTAAGGGGTTGTACCCCACAGTATCTACCCCACTACAGCCTACCCAAAACTATAACACATATATATGTTTGACATTAGTACCTTCTCACGTCTCGCAGTTCAAAAAAACTCATTGTACCTAAAAACGAATCCAGTATGGGTCGAGTCCATACTGGCTGTGCGTTCGAGTGCGCGGACTAGCCCGCCCACACGCAAATTTCTACAGTGCTCCGATCGCATGGAAACCGAGTTAACTTGTTCCCTCGTCAATCGTCGCGCACGAATTCTCGCGCGAGCGAAAATTTTACGCTTGAGCGAAAATTTCTGTAGTGGGCAGGACGCAATTCTGTACCCTTGTTCGCGCACATGCTGATTCCAGTAACGTGAGTCAGACGATCGATGTACGCGCAGGGGGCGTGCCGTCTCGTGAACAAAAGCTGATCGTGTCTAAGATTTATGTAAAAGAAAGTGTTACACCCCATAATGTGGTAACTGAGAGGGTTTTTGAGCTGTAATTGTACGCGCTGGACGCCCCTTAGGGCGAGGCCAGCGTGTTCCCACACTTCATCCATCGTCATGCAATATCAAGCTTCACCGTTTCAAACCGCACAGAATGAACTGAAATGAACTGCTAAACAAACGCGCTCACCTCGCACGGAGTGATGGTGCAATTTTTGCCTCCATTCCTCTTTCCCTCAGCAACAAAACCCCTTGCGTACGTTGCGACATCTTTCAGCGTTTCCAGCCGAATCGCTCTCTCATTCGTGTGTCGCTCATCCGGATCCTCTCGCCGCCATGGTGTGCATTCGGCAGGCCACCGTAAGTCGTGAGTCGTGACCCAGCCTTGCTCGACTGGACTTTTCCGGAGCCGAATTCTCAGCGCACAGTCCGATCACGGTCAGATGGAAAAACGAAATCCTCTTACCTATCTTTTTCACCGCCATTTAGTTTGACCGGAATCATCCAGATTTAGGTTAACGGTCGTGCCTGAAGACTCAGGAAGGCTAGCTAAGGTTCTGTGTCGACCAACGTGGGAGTGTCGTTTTCTTTGAAAGCAGAAACTCAGCTGTTGCGATATGGCTCACATTGCGTGCGCTGCCGTTTGCGCGATTTCTCGTCATGCTTCTCTCATCGCGTCCCTTCTCCAAACCTCCGATTTCATCCCCGTTTTGAGCAGCGGATGCGTCTCAGCATCGAATTCCCCGGTCCTTAAGCGTATCGCAAACGTGTGCAACTGATGCCCCTGGTTTCCTTTCTCGAACCTTTTAGCGGCAACGGACATCTAACCCCTCTTGTTCTCAACCCTAACCCTAACCCTCTTGCCCTTGAACCCCTCTTGCCCTTCCACCCCTCTTGCCCTTCCACCCCTCTTGCCCTTCCACCCCTCTTGCCCTTCCACCCTCTTTCCTTTCCACCCCTCTTGCCCTTCCACCCCTCTTGCCCTTCCACCCCTCTTGCCCTTCCACCCCTCTTGCCCTTCCACCCCTCTTGCCCTTCCACCCCTCTTGCCCTTCCACCCCTCTTGCCCTTCCACCCCTCTTGCCCTTCCACCCTCTTTCCTTTCCACCCCTCTTGCCCTTCCACCCTCTTTCCTTTCCACCCCTCTTTCCCTTGCAACCCTCTCGCCCCCCTTGCACCCCTCTCGCCCACTTTGCACCCCTCTCGCCCCCTTTGCACCCCTCTCGCCCCTTTTGCACCCCTCTCGCCCCCCTTTGCACCCCTCTCGCCCCTTTTGGAACTGTCGTGGGCAGGTGGAGGACCTACTGGCCATGCAGAGCTGCAACCTCATGTGCCTGCCTGAGAACTACCAGATGAAGGTGCGAGGATGGTGGGGAGGTCATGATTGGATAATGGGATGATGGGCACAATGTGACGGTGGGATGAAGAGTGGCCATGCAGAGTTGCAACTTGCAACCTCATGTGCCTACCTGAGAACTACCAGATGAAGGTGGTGTGGGGGGAGGGAGGGTGGGGGAGGGGAGGGGGGTGGGGAGGAAGGGGTTGGGGTGGGGGATGAGCAGGTGGAGGATCTGCTGGCCATGCAGAGCTGCAACCTCATGTGCCCACCTGAGAACTACCAGATGAAGGTGAGAAGGTGGTGGGATGGTGGAATGAAAGGGGGATGGTGGGAGGGAGGATGGTGGGGATGGTAGGACTGTGGGATAATGCGAAGGTGGGGGCAAACTGTTAGGAGGGAAGTGACGGATTTCTCCCTTTGTCCAAACCCCGCTCCCCCTCTTTCCTTCCCCTCCATCCGCTCCCCTTTCCTCTCCCTCCAGTGCTACCCGTACCGCATCGCATCCTATCATGTCCTGACCTATTGTTCTCTCCTCACCCACCCACTCCCCTCCTCCTGCGCCCCCCCCCTCCTCTCCAAGCAATACCACCTGTTCCCTGTCATGCTAAGCTTCTTGACATACTGATTTCTTCTCCCCTCCCTTGCAGTACCATCTGTACCACATCCTGTCGTGTCTTGACCCGTTGTTCCCTCCACACCGCACAAACCTCTCTCTCCCCCCTTCCAGTACTACCTGTACCACATCCTCTCGGGCCACAGCTGCTGAATGAGTCGGAGGACCTATTGCTCTGTTCTCACCTTTCCCACACAACCCCTATCTGCACTCTCTGCTCACCCACGCCTTCCCACCCCCCTCCCCCAGTACTACCTGTACCACATCGTCGGCTACGTGCTTGCCAAGATGTGAGTGTAACGAGTTGCGAGTGTACTATTCTGCAACAAATCTAGTGCAACTTTCCTCACAAATCTTCCCACTCGACCATGTTTGGTGTGGCATCTGTGCCTGGGCCATTACTGGGGTGTCGCATGCCATGACATGGTATGGCATGCATGGCATGGCATGGCATGGCATGGCATGGCATGTCACGACATGGTATGGCATGGCATGGCATGTCACGACATGGTATGGCATGGCATGGCATGTCACGACATGGTATGGCATGGCATGGCATGTCACGACATGGTATGGCATGGCATGGCATGTCACGACATGGTATGGCATGGCATGGCATGTCACGACATGGTATGGTATGGCATGGCATGGCATGTCACGACATGGTATGGCATGGCATGGCATGTCACGACATGGTATGGCATGGTATGGCATGGCATGGCATGGCATGGCATGGCATGGCATGGCATGGCATGGCATGGCATGTCACGAATGGGCACGCCGCACGGGCATGGCCATGGGCACGGCATGGTGGCATGGCAGGGAGGAGGAGTCAACGGAGTGTCGCGGGCACATCACATCGCTGGCAGTCTCTCGCACTCACCGCAAGCTGGGGCTCGCCACCAAGCTCATGACCGCTGCCCGTGAGTAGCGAGAGAGGGGCGCGTGGGTAAGGTAGAGAGAGAGAGAGACCGTGATTGCTGCTTGTGACTTTTGTGGGGCTTTGTCTTGTGGTCACCCAGGTGCACTTGGTATTGACATGTGGTCACCCAAATGCACTCCACACCGGCATTTGCTTCCCATGTGTGTATACCATACCTAGTCATCCCACCCCTTCATTCCTTTTCTCTGTCTTGTGTTGTACCATGCGCCACCTTGTCGTGTGTGTCCTGCAGAGCATGCGATGGAGGGAGGTGGTTGGAGCTGAGTACATGACATGTCAATGCCGCTCCATGATCCTATCCCACAACCCCATAACCCATAACCCCATGTCACTTTCCTCACAGAGCATGCAATGGAGGAGGTGTTTGGGGCCGAGTACGTGTCGCTGCATGTGAGGAAGAGCAATCGGGCGGCTTTCCACCTCTACACGGAAACACTCGGTTACAAGTGAGTTACGATCCAACCACGAAGTTCTCTACTCAGTTACCAGTGAGTTACCTAGGGGTTGCTGCTGGTGATGAACACTCTTCAACGAGTAACCTTCCCGTTACAGATTAGTCACCCGGTGGTTACCACTTTGATTCACGCAAATCACAACACCAAATTAAACGTTTCCTGCTCTCTCCAACCACGTCTCCCTCCGCTTTCTCTCTCCCCTCCCCACCCCTCCTCGCTGTGATCCCCTCTTCCCCCCAATCCTGCCCTTTATCTCAATGAATATTGCAGGATAAACGACATTGAGGCGAAGTACTATGCTGATAGCGAGGACGCTTATGACATGCGCAAGAACCTCAAGCCCGCTGCAGAGAAGCCCAAGAAGGAGCTCAAGGGAGGAAAGGCGGCTTCTGATGATAAAGCATATCCTAATAACGAGGATGCACCCAAGGAAGATGCTGAGGCAGCTAGTAAAGGGGATAGGAACGGTGCAGAGGGGACTGGAAGAACTGATGAGTCGAAGGCTGGGGAGAAAAAGGAGGAAGGTTCTGAGAAGGCGGGTGAGAAGGAGGTGGCTGCGCCGGCAACACCAGTGAGGGAGAAGGAGAAGGGGGCGTCCCGGGGGGGTGGCAAGGGCGGGTCTGGGCGGCGGCGCAAGGGCGGCAAGGGCTAATGAATGTTGTTACTGTAGATTGCAATGAAATGCGTGAGATGAAATCGCGGGTGAGAAGTGGTTTTGCCTTCAACAGCGGTGATGGAGAAAAAGATAGATAGGGGCGTCCCTTATGATATGAGGGGCGGCCAAGGCCAAGGCCAAAATATGAACCATTTGATTTGAGTCGCCCTTGCGCATTCCAGATTCTTGAGCAATCACATGGTACAGGAAGGTTTCAGTTTGAAACACAGTTTATGGGCGTTACAGAGGGAGTTTTCCACACTTTTCACACTGTAGCCCAGTATTGGCTTGGCTGCCTGCAAACTATTTCAGAACTAGTGGCCATGTCTGCCGAGCTCTGCTGAGCAATTCTATATATCGGTCCCAAGAGATGCACAGTCGTTACCCAATCATTTCAACTAGGTAAATAACGTCAGAAATCAGGGGTAGGAAGATTGGCAAGTCAGCTGGTGCGCCCTAATGCCTTGCCAACATTCCTGCGCCTGATGCTCTGACCTACCATAGCACGAATGAAAGCAACGCTATCCCACCCAACACACACAGACCTCAAAACCATGACTGTAGGCCCTCATCTGCAGCAGCAACACCCTGCATACCAAGCCCACTCCACACGAGCCTCGTCAAGACAGTGTAATACCAAGCAGCAGTATTTTCAGGTTGCAACAGGCTGGGTTCAAACCCAGGACCCTGTCAAACCATCGCATGGCCATATCAAGCAGAACCAGCCGTAGCAGCATCAGGAATTTTGGCCCCCATGAGCTGTCCGCCCCGCGTCACACCTGCTGCGCTGCTGCCCGCCAGCACAGCATACCCGCTCACTGTGCTGTTCACTCCGCCATCACCAGAAAAATCACCTGCAGGCGGCTGCTGCGTTCCCCCCCCCTGCTGCTGCTGCCATCCTTGCTGCTGCTGCCCCCCCTGCTTCTGTCCGCCCTGCCTGGCAGCGCGGCCGAGTGAGCGCATCAGCAGCTCCCGCCCCATGCGCCTCCCACCCTTCCCGCTCCGCGCGCCCCCCGCGCTGCCTCCGCGGGCGCCCCCGCCGCTCTTGCGCGGAAGCGATGCGTTGGGGAGCACCGCGAGCAGCGCGTCGAGGGTGGCAGCGTCCGCGTTCTCGAGAAACGCGTCGAGGCGCGCCTCCGCGTGCAGCAGCCACCCGCTGCTTCCAGTCCGCCGCGGCGAGCGGCAGCGCGAGGACGTTCGTCGCGGCGGCGTCGCACACGGCGCCCTTCACGATCGCGAGCGAGTCGGGCGGACCGCCCGCCGCATCCACCAGGAGCGACTCGACGAGAAGGTTGTAATTGCCGGTGGCGTTCCTGGAACGGGGGAAGGGAAGGGAAGGAGGAAGAGGGCAGAATGCAACAAGATTGACGATCAGAAGAAGTTGAGTGCAGCTGAAGCGAGTGGCGCGTGCGAGAAGCTAATGTCTGATAAGTGGCTGATGAAAGTCGATGCGTAAAACACACAACAGATGTTCTCGCAATATAAGGCGACAGAAAAAGAAGGCAGCGAGGCCTACTTGAAGGAGGCGGGGTGGAAGCGGCCGTCAAGGATCTTCTGATCAGCCGTGCAGTTGGCCAGTCGCGCGCCGACATCGGCCGTCAGATTCCCGACGGCCGTCAGGTTTAGCGGCGGACCGTGTGGCGGCTTTCCGCCAGGCCCGCCAGGGCCGTCAGGACTGCCAGGACCGGCGCCCGGGCCTCCGCGCGCGGCCCCTTGTCCCTGACCGCCAGGAGGACCTCCGCCAGGTGGACCGCGCTGCGCCAACGCGGACGTTGACACGAGGAGTAGGATGCACGAGAGGACGAGCGCTCTGAATGCCATGGCTGGTGTCGTGCTTCGATCGACGAAGTGGCGAACGTTTGCTTTCTGCTGTCACTTGTCGCTCTGTTTTGGAGCCAAAGCTTGAGTCACTAAGTTACTTGTCGCTTTGTATGGGAGAATGGAATGGAGGTTGGTGATGAATGAAATGCTAGGAGAGTCAATGGCTACTTATAGGCTAGGGGGTCAAATTCAAGATTTATCTTTCGTTGAAACAGAGGAGTCGCGATTCGCGAGTTGAAACGAGTGCTCCCCTGCAGACTCTTCACATGGACGTGTGGGGCCCAGCCCGCGTCCGTGGACAGGGCCGCGAGTGGTACTTTCTGCTGGTTGTTGACGACTACTCGCGTTACACCACGGTCTTCCCCTTGCGCAGCAAAGGGGAGGCCCCTGATGTTTTGATCCCTTGGATCCGCGCTGTCCGTCTCCAGCTCCGCGAGCGGTTCGAGACGGACCTTCCTGTCCTGCGTCTGCACTCTAACAGAGGTGGTGAGTTTGCCTCCGACCTCTTGCGGGACTTTTGTCGTGGGGAGGGCATTCGCCAGACGTTCACGCTTCCGGCCTCTCCACAGCAGAATGGGGTTGCTGAGCACCGCATTGGCTTAGTCATGGAGGTCGCTCGTATCTCCATGATCCATGCGGCTGCCCCCCATTTTCTGTGGCCTTTTGCGGTCCGCTACGCTGCGCATCAGCTCAACCTCTGGCCCCGTGTCTCCTTGCCGGAGACCTCGCCGACACTGCGTTGGACGGGAGAGGTTGGCGATGCGTCGGTGTTCCGAGTCTTGGGATCTCGTGCCTTTGTCCGCGATACTTCCGCGGACAAGCTCTCCTCTCGCGCCATTCCCTGTGACTTCCTTGGCTTTCCCCCTGACGCGCCTGGCTGGCAGTTTTACCACCCCACCTCGCGCCGTGTCCTGCCCTCTCAGGACGTCACGTTTGACGAGTCGGTTCCCTTTTACCGTCTCTTCCCCTACCGCACTGCCCCTCTCCCCCCCCCCCCCCCCCCCCCCCGCCGCTCTTCCTTGCACCAGGTCCTCCTCCGGTAGACCCCCTCCCACCTCAGGGTCCTGTTCCCTCAGGTGTGTCCCAGGTAGACCCTGTCGAGCCTGTCGAGGTAGCTGTCGACTCTGGTGCTGCTAGGGGTGCTGCGTCTGGGGGTGCTGAGCCTGCGGGTGCGGGGCCTAGGGGTGCTGATCCTGAGCGTGCGGAGCCTGGGGGTGCTGAGCCTGGGGTTGCAGAGTCTGAGGGTGCGGAGCCTGGGGGTGCTGAGCCTGAGCGTGCGGAGCTTGGGGGTGCTGAGCCTGAGCGTGCTGAGCCTGGAGGTACTTTGTCTGGTGGTAGTCCCCCGGGTGCCTCTGTCAAACATTGTACATGTTTATATTGTGTAGGCTATAGTGGGTTTAGCCTTAGAGAGTACAACACATTGCTAGGGTTTCCTACTTGTATCACCCTGCTGCCTAGTTCATTCATTCTCGTTCACTTCTAGATTCTAACATGGTATCCGACGCCTAGGTCAGGACCTAGGACCAACGTTGGTTAGGGCCCACCGTTCCGCCGTGCCCTTGCGCGACCGTGTCTGATAGTACCTCGCGCCGTCGTGCGCCCCTACCCGCGCCGTCGAGCGCCCGTACTAGCGCCGTCGAGCGCCCCTTCTAGCGCCGTCGTGCGCTCTATTGCTAGTTGCGCGCTGCCCACTAGCCTCGCACGCAGCCCCTCGCGGCCCCGTGCAGCCCCGTGTGCCGTCCGCCTGCCTACCCGCGCCCTCGAGCGCCTGCCTACCCGCGCCCTCGAGCGCCTGCCTCCTCGCGCCCTTGAGCGCCTGCCTACCCGCGCCCTCGAGCGCCACCCTGCCGCCCTGCCCTGCAGGCCGCGCGCGGGCCTGCTCTGCACCCGCGCAGCCGCCCCTGGACCCCGAGGCGCGGCCCCTGGACCCCGCGACGCGTCGCCCTGCTCGTCGCGACGCCTCTGCGGGACCCGGGCGTCGCCCCTGCCTCGTCGCGACGCCCCTACGGGACCCGCGCGTCGCCCCTGCCTCGTCGCGACGCCCCTGCGGGACCCGCGCGTCGCCCCTGCCTCGTCGCGATGCCCCTGCGGGATCCGCGCGTCGCCCCCGCCTCGTCGCGGCGCTTCTGCGGGACCCGCGCGCGTCGCCCCTGCCTCGTCGCGACGCCCCCGCGCGACCCGCGCGTCGCCACTGGGACCCGCGCGGAGTCGCCCCTGCCCGCCGCGGCGCCCTGCCCTACCCCGCGCCCGCCCTTGGGACGGCCGCCCCTGGCCTCTGGAGCAGCCGCCACTGCAGCAGCCGCCCCTGGCCCCTGGAGCAGCCGCACCTACAGCCGCCCCTGGACCCTGGAGCAGCCGCCCCTGCAGCAGCCGCCCCTGGCCACCTGGAGCAGCCGCCACTGCAGGAGCCGCCCCTGGCCCCTGGAGCAGCCGCCCCTGCAGCAGCCGCCCCTGGCCCCTGGAGCAGCTGCCGTCGCGGCCCGACCCCGCCCTGCAGCAACTGCTGCGGAGCCTTTAGCCGCAGTCGTGGCCCCGCCCTGCAGCAGCTGCCACGGAGCTCCCTGCCGCGGCCCGGCCCCGCCCTGCAGCTGTAGCGGTCCCGCTGTTGCCGCCGTCTTGCGCCTGCCCTTCCCACCACTGGTGAGCACTGCCCTGCCCGCGCTGCTACCGCTGCTACTGCTGCTACTGCTTCTACTGCTCCTACTGCTACTGCTCCAGCTGCTACTGCTATTACTGCCGCTGCTGCTGCTACTGCTGCTCCTGGCGTGGCCAGATGCAGCTCCAGGGCCGTGCGCGTGAGTCCCTCACGCCCCAGCAGCTTCGTGAGTGGTACGCTAGTTGGGGCTGTCGGGGTGCCCGTAGTGGGAGTTGCTCTGGAGTGGGTAGTTCGGGAGCTTCTGGTAGTGGACAGGTGCAGCTGCAGCGTCGTCCCCGCGAGGCTCTTTCGCCCCAGCAGCTTCGTGAGTGGTACGCTAGTTGGGGCTGTCGGGGTGGCCGTAGTGGGAGTCGCTCTGGAGTGGGTAGTTTGGGAGCTTCTGGTAGTGGCCAGGTGCAGCTGCAGCGTCGTCCCCGCGAGGCTCTTTCGCCCCAGCAGCTTCGTGAGTGGTACGCTCAGAGTAGAGGGTCACTGAGTACTGCTCGCTGCCCGTACGTCATTTGCGCAGGTGTCCGGGCTGGTCAGCCTTGCGGGACACCTGGTCACACAGAGTCCCGCTGCTTCGCCCGTCTGAGCGACGCTTGGCGTACAGAGTTAGGCGACGACGCTGAGCTCCCCTCCTGGCTGGAACTGCTTAGGCAGAGGGTAGATATCTTTGCTCCTGACTATGATGCTATGCTCACTGCCATGTATGCATTGTCTACTAGTGCTGAGGGTGCCTGTCACCTGTGTGTGCCGCCTGACCCCGGTATCCAGTCTGCTGCTCTAGGTACTGGTGAGGCTGCCGCTCTAGGTGCTAGTGTGTCTACTGCCCCAGGTCCTGGTGAGGCTGCTGCTCTAGGTGCTAGTGAGTCTGCTGCTCCAGGTGCTCGTGCGTCTGCGTCTGCTGGTACTGAGTCTACTGAGGCACTGCACACCTTCACACTGGACTCGGGTGCTTCCCGCTGCTTCTTTCGTGACCGCACTGTCCTTGAGCAGCTAGCTCGGCCTGTTGCTGTCTCCCTGGCTGACCCCTCCGGGGGCCCGGTCCTTGCGACCTCCTCCACTGTCCTCCCTTGTCCTGCGGTCCCGTCCGGCACCCTGTAGGGTCTCTACCTCCCCTCGTTCTCTACGAACTTGGTGGCGGGCTCTGCTCTCCAGGACGGGGGTGTTCACCAGTTCACCCCTGCCCACGAGCGCGTGACCCACTACACGTGTGCTCGGACGGGTCGCCACCTGGCTACCTTCACTCGGCAGCCGGGGTCGGACCTGTACACACTGACCACTGAGTCCCCTCAGGTAGCTGCGTCTGTGTCTGCGTCAGGTCAGCTGTCGGCCCCCTGCTCGTGTCGCTCCCTGGCGCACGAGACCGTCCTCTGGCACCACCGCCTTGGTCACCCGTCAGTGCAGCGCCTTCGTGGCATGCACTCCCGGTACCTTGTCTCTGGTCTTCCCAGGGTTCTCCCTCCCCTCCCACCCTCGCCTGCTCCTCCCTGTCTTCCCTGTGTCGAGGGGCGGCAGCGCGCCGCTCCTCACTCCTCCTGGTTTCCCCCGACGACTGCTCCCCTGCAGACCCTCCACATGGACGTGTGGGGCCCAGCCCGCGTCCGTGGACAGGGTCACGAGAGGTACTTCTTGATAGTTGTTGACGACTACTCGCGCTACACCACGGTCTTCCCCTTGCGCACCAAGGGTGAAGTCCCTGATGTTTTGATCCCTTGGATCCGCGCTGCCCGTCTCCAGCTCAGCGAGAGGTTCCACTCGGACTTTCCTGTCCTGCGTCTGCACTCTGACAGAGGTGGGGAGTTTTCCTCCGACCTCTTGAGGGCCTTCTGTCAGGGGGAGGGCATTGAGCAGTCGTTCATGCTTCCGGCCTCTCCACAGCAGAATGAGGTTGCTGAGCGCCGCATTGGCTTGGTCATGGAGGTCGCTCGTACCTCCTTGATCCATGCGGCTGCCCCCCACTTTCTGTGGCCGTTTGCGGTCCGATACGCTGCGCATCAGCTCAACCTCTGGCCCCGTGTCTCCGTTCCGGAGACTTCGCCGACACTGCGTTGGACGGGAAAGGTTGGCGATGCGTCGGTGTTCCGGGTCTGGGGATCTCGTGCTTTTGTCCGCGATACGTCCGCGGACAAGCTCTCCTCCCGCGCTGTTCCTTGTGTCTTCCTTGGCTTTGTCCTGGACGCGTCTGGTTGGCAGTTTTACCACGCCACCTCGCGCCGTGTCCTGCCCTCTCAGGACGTCACTTTCGACGAGTCGGTCCCCTACTACCGCCTCTTCCCCTACCGCACTGCCCCGCTCCCCCCCCCGCCTCTCTTCCTCGCACCAGGTGCTGCTGTAGTAGACCCCCTCCCCCCTCAGGGTG